GGTCATTAGAGGAACTACTGTGGGGTGACAGCCCATGGGAAAGTTTGTTATCTACAGCGGCACCCATCTTCCTGCTCAGGTCCTGAGTCCAGCATGTAGTCTGCAGAGCAACTGGCTTGGCCTGCTTCAGGGCAGTACGAGGAGTTGCTGGGTGAAGTGGATAACTGAGAAGTAATATGGGCCATGTTTGCACTGGTGACATAGGCAGCAGCAGCAGCAGAAGTGGAAATTGTGAGAAGTTCTAAGCACTGCGAGAGGCTGATTTGTCCCTCAGTTTCCCAAGAGAGCTTGTCCTTGAGGCTTCTACACAAATATTAACTCTGGTTTAGTGCTGGGGCAGGAACTGCTGGTTTTCTCAAAGGCAAGTGTTGTCAATAAATTAATACACGATGAAAGCATACACATGTACATTCCAATACAGCATATCAGAGAATTAATAGAACTATTCAAAGAATGTAGTCTTTGGTTTTGAAAACTTCCACAACTTTGTAAAAAAAAAAATCAATAGGATTACAGAATAGAATTAAACTTAAGGATGATAGCATTAGCAGTAAACTGAAAAGAATTCTATTTTGATATGATGCCTTCATATGAATTATTAGTGAGGAATACAATTTAAAAATTTTTTTCTGGGCCTCCCCTGGTGGTGCAGCGGTTGAGTGCAGGGCTGTGAAGCTGCCTGCAGCCTCTGCAGGGCCCATTTGATCCCCGGCCGCCAGCAAGGGTCCCACATGGCGCAACAGACCTCTCCTGCCGTGCCTGCTGCTCCCCTCAGTAGTGTATTTCGTCAGTCTGCCTGTTCTGTTCCCCACTCTGGCTCTGGTGAATTCTCTCACCCTCCTGCGCTTCTGACTGTACCCAGTGCTCGTATAAATAAATAAATAAATAATAAAAAAATAAAAATTATTTTCTTATAATTAAAAATATAGCAATAACATACATAAGTAGATGTTTTCAGTTATATGAAAATTGTGAAATTGCTTTCAGCTTCTTGAAAAACCTCTACATGTTATAAGAAATTTCAAGGAATAAACCAAAATGACACTGTAATTTTTATTTATTAAATTTAGACCGCTATGAAACTCCTTTTTATGAAGATTTAAATCTCTGTAGAAAAAATGTGTTGTGAACCATTAACTCATATGCCTAAATTTATATTTAAAAATAATTGATAAGAAATTTATACCAATGTTGTCGCCATTTATAAAATATTCTTTACAGCTCAGCAATAGTTGCATTAGCAGAAAGGTTTTCTCAAAATTAAAAATTATAAAAAATCATTTGTGATGTATTTACCAAGAGTGATTGACATCACATTCATATATGGACTGAAAATGAAAACACATTGTATATATTTTGGCGATTTAATGAATAAAGGTGTAGAAAAGTGAATCAAAATCTTGTGATCAATTAAGATAGCCCATTAAAAAATCTAATGTATTTATTATATTATTCCAAATTATTACACCAAGTATTATTTTCATAATTTACATTTTATATTGATACCTACATTATTCTCACCTTTATTATGTTTTATAATAAAATATTTTTAAAGGAAAAGTTCTTATATATTTAGTAGCTCTCATGGTATCTTTTTCCCACTCCTTGAAAAAAGGGCCCCTCATTTTCATTTTGCACTGGACTTTACAAACTATGTAGTTAATATTGATAGCAAGATTTAGCACTGAGGTTTCTCTCGAGAAATCTTCCCTTTGAATTCTTATTCTTTACAACTGAAACCGAGAGATGATTTGGCCTATTAGAAATAGAAATGTTTCAGGTTTAGGAATATTTGCCTTTCAACACCCAAAACAATATAATTACCAAATACATTTTCTTTTCCACATTTTATTAACATAGAACCCAGCCTCTTGGTCCTCTGTCTCTGCTCACCTACCTGCTTTTTAAAGATAGGTAGACAAGTTACATGGTATGTGAAACACAAAGTTGTTAACATCCTTCCCAAATGGAAGATTTTTCATCATCTTCACTCAATTTGATGTTTTCCCATTGACTTACCATTTGCTTGACTTCATCCTGAAAGAGAGAACAATGACAAGAGGCTCAGGTGTTCTGGTGGCCTCCAGTTTGAAGCTTGGAAGATTTATGTCTAGACAGCTGTGTGCAAAACCTCTCTGCACATGGAGATCAACATATCCCCCAAGGATATAATGAGCAAAACTAGAAGAATAATGAAGAAAAATGACAGGCACACGGAAGGGGAATAAACAGGGTATGCCTCTGGTAAATAACTCCCTGAAGGACTCTTAGAAAAGACTTACTGATTAATTGAATCAATCCATCATCCTTGGGGTGACAGCATCAATTTGCAATCTTTTTTGGGAGTTGTTTTACTCCATTGCTGTTACAGCTTAAATTCATATGAGGGTAGACTGAGAGGTTAAAAATATAACTATTTTGTTATTAAGGTGCCATAATTTTGTGCTCTCATTATCGAAGAGGCGTAGGCTAATTTTAATAACAGTTTAGACTGTGTCAGAGCATCAACATGTGGCTTATAAAAGGATTTTTCTTCTCTGAATTTATCTTACACATATCAACTCTCATTACCCATCTAAATTTTAAGTTCTTTGCTTCTAAACTTCATAGTGCTTCAGAATATTTAAAAACAAACTTCATTATGATACTAGAGAACATGAAAAATATGTATCACCTTTTGGAGGAGCTTACCTTCATTTACTTTGTTGTCACTGGTGATCATTATTTATAATAACTGTGCAGATTTCAGTGGTAAATGAAACACTTGAATATGTTATCTAGTTCAAGTTTTTGTTGAATTCAAAAGCATAGAGTACCTAAATGTCAGATAGTTTGCTCTCAGAGCTATCAAATGTGATTATTTCAAGGTACTAGTATGTTTTAAGTTGGGCATAAAATATCCATCACAGATAATCTTACTTTCCCTTCTTGGGAGTAGTTTGAAGGTAAATGTGATTAAAAGAAAAGAGGATCAGGGCCTCCCCGGTGGCGCAGCGGTTGAGCACTGGGATGCTAGACTGCCTGCAGGCTCTGCAGCACTAGTTCGATCCCCGGCTGCCGGCAAGGGTCCCACATGGCACGCAGACCCCTCCTGCTGCACCTGCTGCTCCCCTCAGCAGTGTGTTTCGTCAGTCTGCCTGTTATGCTTCCCGCTCTAGCTCTGGTGAATTCTCTCACCCTCTTGCGCTTCTGACTGTACCCAGTGCTTGTATAAATAAATAAATAAATCTTTAAAAAAAAAAAAGAAAAGAGGATTGAAGGTAGATTTAAGCAAAGATTCTCTGTGATTAAAGTAACTCAGACTGTTTTTTTATTATTATGTAAGGATCTTGAAGGATCAAGAAGCTTGATAATAAAGCTTCCTGAGTACCAGAATTGAGTGCCACGACTTTACCAAAGACAGATGAAATATGTGAAGGAAAGTTATCTTCACAATTATAGAAAGTATTTGAGATGATATTGGTTATCTTCATCTCACTTATATTAGCTCTTCATAATGTATTGTAAAAGAAATACTAGAATCTTGTAACTCGAAACTAAATTTAATTGGTCTACTAATATTTAAGGATGTAATAAATTTACATATGTGTATGAGTTATTGGCTTTTAAAAGTTGTAACATTGTACAACATTTAACAATGAGACTGGACTGAACCTTATAGTTTATGATTATATTATCTTAAAATCATACTTCTCAGGGTTCTTTCTGATTTCCACAATTTGGGGCTAGTTGATAGCGTCTGGAATTTGGTTTACCTATTCTGAGCAGAGTACACATAATGGAGTTTGTTGTAGAAAGGTGTTATTTGCATGGTTATCTTGAGTAATTTCTTACTCAAGAAATTTCTGAACTCAGACTTAGTTATCTCTATAATGAATGGGTTTAGATCTCAAAAGTTTGTTCTATAATGTAATCCATCTAAAATGATTTTGTATTGCTGAGTTTAAATAGTCTACTTGTTACAGTACAGTGGAATGTTGAATATTTGCTTTGCTGTATCAGAGATTGTGTCTAATAGTTGCTAAATAAAGCTATTGGTGCTACCAACAAATAGATTTGTTATTTATCAGATGCACACCCATTTTATTATGAACTCCATAAGGGATCTTTTTAAATATATAGTATTTATTAATATATGTAATGTATTATGTATGTATATAAATATGGCCTATTAACTTTGTTTCTTTTTATGCAACTAAGATGTGGACATTTGAACTCTCAGAGTGAAGCAACATCTTGACAGCCAACCACACCTATCAATCGGTAATGAACCTGCACCAGCATGCTTTTCATAAAAATGTAAAAAAAAAAAGACTTGATCATTTATAGTTGATTTTCTCTTTCTTGGTATGTTGCCTTGAAGCCTTCCTTGTTTTCCATCAATTTTGGCATATTGGCTTCCAGGGGATGCATGTATGCAAGCAGTGAGAGAAAGGACACAGCCCTATCAGCAGCTGAAGCCTGTGACCTTTCAGTACATGTAGTGAGCCTTACCTAAGTTCTGCTTGTATAAGCATAAATTCAGCATCATCTTTTCCACTCGTCTACTCTAGCCCAACATGCTTCACTATAGTTGTCATCAAAGGGGCAATAGATGAATATTTTAAATAATCTGCCTTATAAAAAACAAAAAAACACTTAACCAAAGTCTTTAACCTAGTGCCCTAACACTTGTGTCAGCTATTAGCCTGATGGTAACTCTAAGTTCCAGGTAGAAGGTGAAAAATGTTCTCCAAATGACAGCATGTCTATTCCTGGCAGGCTTATAAAAAGAACCCTTAGTGTCAAGAGATAATGAAAGTACAAGTTACCTATGACTGAACTAAAATGGTGCCATGACCTGGCAATTTCTTTTTACTACTGATACATCCCTGCACAGCATAGAACATCAGCATTGCCTTCATGTAAATTTAATAGGGCTTCCCGTCAGTGACATAATCATATACACTGTGAGAAGGATCAGGGGTTTTCAGGGATGGCACAGAAACTTAATTGTTTTTCCATTTATTTTTAAAATGCAAATTACACTAGTAAGTCAAAAAAATCACTCTGTTAAAAATACATTCAGAATTAACAAACGCAAAAAAAAAAAAAAAAACCACATCAGGATTGTACCTCTTGCCTTCTGAATATTAGGTTTATAACAAAAGCTCAGCCTAGAAAAATAGCATTCTTCACCGGATTTTGAGGAGGATACAGCTATACAATTTAGATGTTTTCCCAGATACAATCACACTACTGTGCTCACTGCTCCCAAAAAGGACCTGTCCACTGATTACTTTTTAGTAGTCAACACTGTTTTTAAAAATTTTGGAGGTGATGATAGTAGTGATTAGGTGGTAACTTGGCTGCAACTTAAAGCAGGATTATGAGGGCTTATTTATTCTCTGTGCACTGAAATCTCTTTCCATATACATGTCCCAGAAGGTGGAATCTCATCCCAGCATGGATGTACAGTGAAACCTCATTTCAATGGCTGCACTACTAGCCATATTAGAAGAGTTTCTGACATTGTTATTATTTATATTTCAAGAATCAAAGGACAATACATTGGTAGTAAATATTCTTCTCATACACTAAACATGCATGTCACTATAAAATCATCAAATGAGGTTTCACTGACATGGCTGTAATTGTCTATTTTATATATGTATGTAGGGACGAACACATACAAGCCGCTGAGAAAATTCAAGCACAAGTGCTGGAACCTTTTTTTTTCTGGTTTATGTTCCAATAGTTATCTTTGTTCCTTTATCATTTCAAATGTATATGTGTGCATATCACAGACACCCATGCAAACACAGTAATGGGACTGGTTTATGTAGATCTGGATGGGCTAAGATCCAAAGTAGGTTAACCCAATAACTGAAACTTCATAGAAACCAAGAGAAAAGTTACTCCATGTCAATTTATAACTTTCAACTCTGAATTTCATTGTATTTAAAGATGGTGCTTAAAAAAAGATTTTCGTGTCTCAGGTGGAATCTTATCCTAGCATTGGGTGTTTTCCCAAGATAAAACATGACTCATCTGAGTTCCTGACAAGCCTGAGCTAATTATGTTTTCCACTAATGAAAACCAAATAATGCTTGAATATATAGAACAAAATTTCCTAGGAATTCAGAATATTCCATAAACACATTGACCTACTATTAAGTTTCCAAAGGCATCTTGTTGCCAACTACGTTAACAGCACAGTTTTTCTGCCACGATAATACAGGAGGATTAAAATACACTCTAACACACAACAGATCCCCCAAATACCACAAAGAGATCTCAAATATTTCACCAAGGTAACTATTGCTCCCCCCACCCACCCAAAAAATAATCTCGTACGCTGAAGTTAGGAAAAAAAGTTCACCTACATAGGGTCTTCGATTTGAATTAGATATAAAAGAGTAAACATAGCTAATACATATTCAGTTGGCCTCTGTTGATAGAAATCCACAGCCATTTCTGTGTTAGTAAAAGACATTTGTAGATACTTATAAAAGCACCTAGAGTGCAATAAATAAAATCAGTGAGTTAAGCCATTTCTGTTCTCTGCTTCCCATAGATGAGTTTAGTAGATTAATACGTTTTACTTTGTCCCACCCAACTCCATCAGACGACTGTATTTAAGGATTATAATGATGACAATTGAATATTGTTGTCGTCGTTATGGTTCCTTGTCTCTCTTTTGGCCACCATGGAGGCTCAATGGTAAAGCACTTTGCTGACAGCTGGCAGTTTCCATACACAGACACATTAGAGCTGCTGAGCTATGCAGTCTTGTTCCTTGATGTGAAACACACAGACTTGAACTCATTTGGAATTAATAGCAGTGTGTTAGCCTAAAGGAAGTGACTTGGGATGTCTGCACTGAGATTTTTGGGCACACAACTTAGGTGGGTTAAGGCAAGTATGTACGGTACAGCCTTTAGGGCAAACAACCTGCCATTTCGGACTTCAGTTACAAGGTCATTATGGCATGTTTTATTTGTTTTGCAATCACATTGCCTACATAGCCATGGTGCTATCTCAAGACATATGAAGCGCAGAAGACTGGGCTCTCAAATATGCTCTGGATGACCTCGCAGCTCATAGAGGCTGAGTGACTGGGCTGTAGAGGAGTGAGTGATGGCCGGCAGAGGGCACTAACATGTCCAAGATGGGCATGTCCTGCATATTTTGTCTGCTTTAATTAGAAAGAGGAGGAGGTGAGTGGAATAGTTGTATGCCTGTGTGTGTGTGTGTGTGTGTGTGCGCGCGCGCGTGTGTGTGTATGTGTGTCCCAGGGTGTGAAGGTTTTATGTTTATTATGTTAATAGGTTTGTATATCTAAACTCAGTTGCTTCTTGCTCTTCATAAAATGCAGGAGGTCACTGTGAAACAAGTTCTTTGAAAAGTCCAGGAGTTGACATACTGAAGCCATCTGTATTATTTCGACCTAAGAGAGAGAGGGAAAAGATGTCTTGAATAATCCATGGGGGATTGCTGAGCACCATTTCTCAACTCTCCATGCACAAAAGCAAGCCAAAAAAAAGAAAAAAAGTTCCAAGCTCAAATTGTGCTTTAAACAGACAATTTTCCTCTACTTTTCTTTTTCCTTAGTTCAGCCTCCTGGATAGAGAGGCCACTTAATGGTAATTTAAAATCCATTTCTGGGGACAAGTGAAATGAGTATGTATTGCTGTACGATTAGGCTGCCAAAAAGAATGCCGTGTTTTCAAATATTGTCTAATATACCATGGAGTATTCTCACAACTCGTACTGCAGGGAGCCCACACAGATCTCTATTTGTTATGGCACATAGGTCAGTGGCAGGGACAGCAGCTACTTTGTTGGAAAATTAACCTATGGACATAGAAATGTTTTTGGGCAGCAGCTACATAGCTATTATTTATTTCAAGAAGGTTTACCAAACTATAAGAAAAAAATATGAAAACATTTCCCTTTTATTTATTTATTTTTTTTTTTTTTTTTTTTTTTTTTATAGAGGCATGCTTTATTTATTTGTTTGCTGGTTTGTTTGTTTTGTTTATACATGCACTGGGTACAGTCAGAAGCGCGGGAGGGTGAGAGAATTCACCAGAGCCAGAGCGGGGAGCAGAGCAGGCAGAAGGACCGAAGTACACTGCTGAGGGGAGCAGCGGGCGGCAGGAGAAGTCTGCACGCCATGTGGGACCCTCCTCCGGTGGCCGGGGAGCAGCCGGGGATCGAACCGGCGCCGCAGAGGCCGCGGGCAGCCTCGCAACCCAGCGCTCAACCGCTGCGCCACCGGGGAGGCCCAAAACATTTCCCTTTTAGATGGAATATAGATAATCTGAAGAATTCTTGGCCAAGAACATTCACCCAATTTAACTTAAAAAAAAAGAAAAGAGCACAGGCTATTCATTGACTACAAGAACTAAAATGCAATGTGAATGGAAGTCAGTTATGACAGTGTTTTCAAAGCTTTGTCCAGGCTTTCAGCCACGGAAGATTTGCTGGGCATAATGGAAGCCCCACAGCTAAAACTGCACATTGCTTTTAAGCATTTGCTTTCCTTGTAAGGAACAGCTTTTATTTCCAGTTGCTATATTACATCATCAGGGTGCTTGAACTGGCCCATGATGGTAATTACTCTTACTTTATAAAACTTATTTATGGCAGGTTGACAGGAGAAGGTACACTCCAAAGGAAAAAAGACAAAAGAGTCACTCAGGTCTCTGCCGCTCAGCAAGGGATGAGATTTCTGAGAGAATGAGTTTTGATTTTTCATAGGATTTGAGTAGGAAGTGGCTCTCAAATAACTGGTTTTGATGGCTACAAAGTTGAAAAAGCCCTTCATTGAATACTTCTTTGAATTACTGTGTGAAATCAACAGGGAAGGACAGCAAAGCCAGAAAAGGGCAGGGGTGCAGGCTGGTGTGGAAGTATGGGAGCTGAGGGCAAATAAGTACAAATAAATAAGTTAAAAAAGCAGGGGCTATAACACTAGAGCAAACTCACAGTCCATCTAAGATTTTGAAAGAACACTGGTTGATCATTGGGGCTGCATACTAACAAGAGACGTCTATTTTCCTTTCTCTTGTTTCAATTTCCTCATCTGTAAAATAAAATCTTAGTGTTCTAGTACTTGAGATGTTCTAGGGGTATTTTATGGAAAAGGGGGTTGTAGTAGTTTGACTGGCAATTTGTTATGTACCTTAAGCATTTTTGACTTTTTAAAATTTAACGACTTATTTCATGAGCAGTGAGTCTTGAAATTCTTATGTATGTATTTTGTCATTCTTAGCAAGTAGAAGAACAGTATTTTGATTGCTCTTGGTTAGGAGTTTAAAATATTGATAAAATAATGGCATCAAGGAATTTAATGCTGGATTTTAAAATTGCAGAGTCCCCCCTTTACAGAGTATTCAAATCATAAATGCCTGATTTGAAAAAAATATCCCTTTTTGTGGATAATTAGCTTTTTCAGGTTATTATCATAGTTGATCCTTATAATGTGGATGCATCTAATTTATTATAGCTTCATCACATTTATTGATCATTATATTGACCAATACAATGAAAAGATATGTGATAAAAATGTTATGTGGCATTGTCAGAAGCAAGGAATTGCAAGTCTTACAGATACTCTGTTCAACTCTAAGCACAAAATTATTGTCACATTTTATATATGACATACTATTTACAGACAAAATCCTTTGAGATATATAGTATATATTTGTAGTATGCTTGTATAAACATACTTGATAAGGTCTTTTCATGAGTTATATTGGCTGACATAAGCATTTTCCCTACTAATCAATTGTTTATTAAGTACTAACTATGTGACATGCCCATGTTTTACATACACTATTTTTTATAAATTCAGAACAATTTCATGAGTTAAGTATGTTATGTTTATTTTGCAGGTGAGGAAACTTAAGCTTGGTGAATATTATTCAAATAAAATTAAATGTGCAAATTCAAATCATCTTACCTCAGGCAATCTGCTTCACTGTGTCATATAAGCACTACCTCTCATGGCTATCCTTTATTTTTTCATATAACACTTTATATAAGACTGTGATATAATATTGAAAGAATGATGAAGAATTTAAAGAATCTATCATTTTATTTTTTGCTTAAGCTACCAAATCTTTCTAAAGTGCAGGGTAAAAGTGAAGAAGAAGAGTATTAGAGAGTTAGAGATTAAGAAATACTTCCTATAGGAAGTACATTTCAAGACAGAGTATGAAAGGTACGGAGGTTCCAAAGAGTGGAATTTGGAAAAACATGCATTTAGTGCCAAGAGACTAGCAAGGACAATTGGAGAAGACAGGAGTTCTAGTTTACTTGGGTTGGGGGAGATGTCAACTATTATACTAACATGTGCCCAGTAGTTTGTAAACTTCAGAAGGATAGGACCAGTTCTTATTCTTCATTATATTTCTTCAGGATATCCTAGTATCATTTATATATGGCAGTTGGGATTCAAAATTTATTAAAGGCTGAATGGAAGAGATACTACTACACAACATCAGGACCAGATTGGAGTAGACTTGCAGGCTAAGGCTTTGGAAAGTAGGTAAAGGGAGTCATTGATTGTTTTAGTATAGGGAAGTGAAGTTACCAGAGTTGCTCTTTAGGAAGATTAATTTGTAGCCACATGGAAGATGGGACAGAAGAAACTAGAAATCTTAGAGTTGTGAATACCTGAATTAGGGCAGTGGTTATGGGGATATATAAGAGGTGATGTGTATGTATTGCTCAAAGAGAGAATGCTTTGAGTGATATATAGTACTTATTGGCTGCTTTCTGAACTGATAAAGCATTTTTATGAGTGGTGTTAACAAGTGTTTTCAGGGAAATACAAGCAACACAAAGAAAAATGCAGGCAAGATGCATAGGTCATTCTCTTTTTAAAGAGAAACTTTAAAGGGATGTTTCAAGATTAATCTCTTCGGAGAATACACTAAAAATCCATTTATTATCCTATAGACTACAATTTTAAAAGATAAAATGGTTCAATGGTGGAGGACAACGACAACAAACACATATCTTCAAAAAGAGAAGCTCACGTTTCAAAATGAATTGGAATCTTACTTTCTATTTTGATCTTCACTTGCAATTCAGCATATCACTTGATGCTGATATATAGAATTTGTTATCAGTTGTTATCCAAGGGAATTTGCCTAAACACAGATATAAAAATCAGGCTCTGATTGTATGTCTGCTTTCTTGAGTGCTAGAGTTAAGGGTCTGATAAGATTCACTGTTAAAATTCTGGTTTCATTTTCACATCAAAAAATGATAGAGAAAGAGTATTGCTCAGTTTTTAGCTTTCTAACACTACTTATAACTAGGGTAATATCCTCTCATGTATAATCCAAATGATAACGCTTTTGATAGTATTGGTTGGGCTGGTAAGAATTATATAAGGATAGCAGGTACAAACTGAGAATATCCTAGGGAAATCAGAATATATTGTTATGGTTTATGCATAGCTACATATGACTACCTACAACGCTACATCATTTTCACAACATACAACTTTTGGATAACTGAAAATAGTAGTACATTATATAGTCTGTTGAGCCAAGTAGTTGATACTTTGTAAGACTAATGATAATTTGGGGGATGGCATTTCTGATAAGTTAAAAATATGGAGAAAATGCTATTAGAAGTATCCTAGTCAAAATGATAGAAGAGTAGCAATTGAAGAAAAGTTGTATGCCATCTATTTTGTGCCACTATAATGCTTACATAATCATCTTTCTGCATCCCAGAAGAATACCTCCAAGACAATGTACTTACATGTACATAGGTTGTAGTTGTAAATGAGATGTCTTCTGAGGTCCTTGATAGCCATAAGAGTCAAAGCCACCTATGAAATCAACTGGAAAGGAACAAGTGCCTTCATAAGTTAACATTTCAGATGAGATAAGCATTCATGATCATGGTCTTACACAGATTACTGAAGGTTTTATTAATCTATTAAGCCAAAAGTAACCAAACATGGAGGAAAAATAAAATAGCACCATCAAAGTAATGATTAAGTCCAGTATCAATTAAGAAGTTCAATTATTTCTTTACACGAATCTACTCACTTGGGAGAAGAAATTATATACTTTTCTCAAGCAACCACTAATTCAAGTAATAAAATTTGCATGTATATTAAAGGTACCATATACCATTTTTTTTGTTTTTAGCATGGAGATTTTCTGCAACTCATTACAATGTGAAAAATAATGATCACTCAGGGATATATATCTATTGGCAATTATAGTCTTGGTAGTAATGATATATATGATTGTCAAGGTCAAAATACTATGGTGTATATTAACTCAACACAGCATCCCTGCCATCATGTGGTTTAAAATCTAAAATAGACAATTAGAAATAAGATGTGATTTAACTATGTACCAAACTTATATAGCCTTTTCTGATTGATCTTTGTCACTTACCAATATTCATTTAAAGGTCCTCTATGATATTTTATAGCTTGATAACCCATTTATTTTTAGTGTGGGAAACTATGCATATATAAATGCAATATATATACATAGATATTTAAGGGATGATAAGATAATCAAGAACTTGTGGTATATTATGTTTCGAATGGACTGCCTTAATAACTCTTATTCCACATGTGTTTATCAATGTAAACTGGACAATCCTCCAATCTGATGGTTTGTGTCTGTATCCCTTCCTCTTGAACCTGGGCAGAACTTTGTGGTCACTTTGACCATAGAATATGGTAGAAGTAATACCATGTGATTTTCAAGGTTAAGTTCTAAGAATCTCATACACTTTACTCTTGTTCTTTCAGGGCATTCATTTCTTGAACATGGCCACTTTGTCCAAATTAGAAAGCCCAATATTAGTTCAATACAAAGATACAATAGGAGAATGCTCATGTACTGCAATCTTGCTGATAGGCTAGCTGAGGCCCATCTGATAACCAGCATCAGTACTCAGATATGTGAAAGAAATGCCTCCAAATAACCCCAGTCCCCAGTTATTGAACCAGCCCAATCCTGAATTCTTCCAGCTAAGGATCCCATATCAGGGATCAGAGATCAGCCCTCCCTACTTGACCCTGTCTGAATTCTTAACCCACAGAGTCTTTGGGCATAATAAATGTTTGTTTTGTACCAGTGAATTTTGGTAGCAAGAGTAACTGGAAGTAAGTAACTTAAACAATAAGAGTACTATGAAAGAAAAAATTTTTTTTCCCATTCCTGTAATGGAGGTTGTATGGTGGCAACTCAAAAGGTTGCTAACACAGATGATGGGAAGGAGAAAAGAAGAAAGATAGGGACTGAATCAGGAAGCCTTAAGATACCTTACTTTTTTTAGTATCATATTCTGTTGCCTTAGCGTTGACTAGTTTTTGCTTTTTTTTTCAATATCGTAGGTGTTACTGGTAGAAACTGAAGCAAGGTGTGAATTACCATAAAGTCATGTCTAATTACTGGGGAAATATTCTTTAATAGATACTATTTTTTTTTAATAATAAATTTTATTTTTATATTCCCCATACAATTGCAGCCCCCCCATTCTTACCCCAATCCCTCCCCTCCCACCCCCGCCCCCCTAAAAGTGTCTCTGGTTTGTAGTTTTTTGTTGATTTTGATTTTCACTTTCTTATAGTTATTCGTTTTCCTGGTCCCTTATTTAAGTTTTCTAGATTCCTGCTATGAGTGAGACCATCCGGTATTTTTCTTTTTCTTTTTGGCTTATTTCGCTGAGCATGATCCCTTCCATTGCCATCCATGTTGCTGCAAATTGCATGTGTTTATCTTTTTTGAATGCTGAGTAATATTCCATGGTATATATGTACCACATCTTCTTGATCCAGTCAAATAGATATTTTTTTAGAGAACTCTAAGCTCATAGCAAAATTGAGAGAAAGTGCAGCGTCTCTATGTATCTTGTCTGTACACATGTGCAATCTCCCTACTATCAATATCCCACCAGAATGTACATTTGTTATAATCCATAAATATATAGTCACACACCATCACCATCTGAAGTTCAGAGTATACATTAAGTTCACTCTCAGTGTTTTATATTCTATGGGTCTGATGAATGTATAATGACACATATCCACCATAATGACATCATACAGAATAGTTTGTAACAGTGTAATCTAAAAAGGGGAGGGTCCATGTTCCCTCTCCCACTTAATGAATGGTGGTATAAAATCTACTGGTTGTAAGCTTTGGATATGCCACTTACTTAATTTGTAGATTGGAAAAGCATAACATTTCCAGGCTTCATCACTGTATACTTTATATATCCTCACAGAATAGCTGAGGGATACAGTGAGGCAGTTTCGGCATAACTGTTCAGATAATTTCAGTGGAAAGAACTTTAAAATATGTGACTCAACTGGCTTAAATTCTCTCATAAAATGTCTAGAAGAACAATGTTTCCAGAATTAGTTAATTCACATGCTCCATTACATTATCTCTGACATAGTTTGTTTCCAAATTTTTACTTGGCTATTTTCAAATTGATAGTTTGAAACATGATCTCACTCTCTTCAAGGTCTCAGAATGACTGAAGCAATCCCAAACATCAGATCCTGACTTAACCATATATCAAAGCTATACAGTCTTTTCTGATTGACTTCTTTCACTTATTAACATGCATTTTAAGTTCCTCCATGTCATTTTATGTGATGACAACCCATTTTATTAATGTGGAAAACCATTTTCATCTGAGGCAGAATTGCTCTTCTTGTCAAAAGTGGAAGAGTATAATGATAAGAACAGAGACCCTAATGTTAGAAGGCCCAGGGTTCAAATAATTTGACCATTTTCCAGTTATGTGATCTTAAATAATTTAATGTCTCTTAAAATACAAATTAAAATTTGTCTCATACAATTTTTGTGAAGCTAAAATAGGAGCCTTAAAAAAAGTAAAAGTCCCTGAAGAAGTTCAGGATTATCTTTTTTTTTAAAAAGATTTATTTATTTATGCATACAAGAACTGGGGTGTAAGCCAGAGGTACAGGGTGTGAGAGGATTCACCAGAGACAGAGTGGGGAACAGAACAGGCAGACTGACTGAAATTCACTGCTGAGGGGAGCAGTGGGTGAGTCAGGAGAGGTCTGCTGTGCCATGTGGCTCACCTCCCTAGCCCAGGATCAAATTCATGCTGTAGAGACTGTGGATAACTTCACAGTGCTGTGCTTAATCCCTTGAACCATAAGGGAGGCCCCAGGATTATCCTTAATACTTTTAAGCCATGTAGCACAGAGGAAACACAGAAAGTTCTGAATTTGGGAAAACAATGGAACCTTATAGAATATAAGATGATATAAAAGTGAATTTATTTTCTGGATTGCTCATATTTATACATCAGTTAATATACATAGCTGAATAATGACTATATTTAAAGCTTATATTTTAATTAATTATTGCCTCTGAGTAAGGATTTGTTGTACAACAACCCTAAATTCCCATCCACCCAGGCAGGCTCTTGTCAACAAAGAGACTTAATTGAAGACTACTTTCCTGTAACATATTGACAGTGTTAGACATTTCTTGTTCTGTAGATGTCCCTTTTTACTAATTGTTCTCCATTACCTTTCCTGTGTCCTTTCTAGAAAATTTACTCTTGTATTTTCTTCCTGTCTCTAATCTAATATTGTAGGGATAGACTGGTGTGAACAATAATTGAAGCAAAAGCCACCAGTGCTGGATTTGACAGTGATGACATCTCTTCGTTTTCTGTAATGAATCTTTCAGAGATGATAGGTGAGCATCCTTCAAGGTTTAGTTCAATTCCTTTTTATCGGATAACTTGTGCAGATGAACATTTAAGCAGTCCTTTCTTGGGAAGCATTTATATTCTCAGTCCCATCTTGTATAATTCTGACAATAGTGATATTTTCCAAGTAAGGAGGGATGTTTTCTTTATATCCACTTGGCATATTGTCTATGTTATTTCCATGCTTATCAGAAAATGTGAAAGACAGAGGAGTGGCTGAGGCCTGAATTAGAATGAGGAGAATGAGAAAGGATGGATAACAATGGATGCGAGATAAATAGAAAAAGAGAAAACATAGGACATGCCAAGCTTTGAATATAGGGGAAGGGGAAGAAAAGGCAAGATTCAAAGTTGATTCCTAGAAATGTTTTGGATAGAAAATGTTGCCTTTCATAGCACAAAGAAAGAATGTCAGGAGGGGGTTTGTATTTGGCTTCATTTTGGAAATAGTATTTGAGATACACACATAAGTGCAGGAGTCAGAAAACACTTGGGAAGAGAGAAATGAATCTGTAGTTGGTATAAGGCAAATTGGGGAAATGTTGAAAATCTTCATTACTGGTAGGAAAAACATTGTTTTCTTTCTGGTCATTTCATCGGATCCTAAACGGAAATATGCAACTGGGAAGGAGGTGACAAAATAAAATCTGCCCTTGTTTAATCTTTGCTTCTTTTGGAGGAATTTGCCTTTGGTCCTCTGAAGACAACTCAAGAATGTTACCATTTTCTTTGCAGTTATGGTATTTTTCTCTTTGCCTCAGTTTTCCTATCTATAACATGGGTATGTTTGCATTTACTGACCTATGGAGCTACAATTATTTTAAATTAGTAAACTGCCATATCAGTTTAATCACTATGTTTTAATGACATTAGTAACAGTGGGATTTAGAACTTAGTAAGAGGAAACATGCTTTTTGAATAAATAATCTTTGCTAAAATACATTCCCTATTGTGAGTTTTGCTTTTATTTAAACCTTTTAATCATGAACGCAGAGTTCAGCAAAACCAAAACTACCTTTTTAAATACATGTTGGCAGTGAGGTATTGTAATACACAATTGTACCTTGATTTATAATGACAGGGCCAATAGTCAACAGACTTTTAGAGACAGAGTTG